AAAATTTTGAGTTTTTGGGGGTGTAATAGTAGAATAGTACCACAAAATTCAATAGAAAATGGAATTTGAGCTGTTCAATTAGAGAATTAGTGAGGAGATTTAGCACCATCGTCTCACGAAAGTCAATATTTTACCAATAAGTTAGGTGAAGAAAAGAAAGTTAGAACCATGCCTAATATGTCAAAATAAGAATAAAAATTACGTGAATCGCCGATTGCCAAAATATGGACGTCTTTGAGCAGGGCTCTCACGAACTTGGAATCGTAAGGAAATCCCTCAGTGGTTGCGCCAGTCGCCTTGCTTTTCAGGGATTTGAGAACAGGTCTGTAATGCGAGTAGCACAAATATCTCCTTCCTGCATCATCACGATTAAGAAACACCAGCGTTAAAAATATCGGTGATTGTGTATCCAATGTCAATGCCAAAATCACTTACTCTACATTGATAGCATTCTCCTCTACTTCAGCTGAAGCATAATCTTGAGACTGGAAATGGCCAGCCATTCTGGAATCGCATATTTCTCCGCTGATGAGGGTACACAAATCAGGGTTTCATCATTTTGGAGAGATACAGACGTTTGCACTCAACAATCAGAAATCCAGAGCAAGTTCCAGTCAAAAAAATTTATTCAAAACCTCATTGAAACCATTAAGCAATCGATGCCCCGATATCGAAAACTATCCTGGATAGGGCACCATCTACATTATACGGTATGGTGGGAATAGTAGCACGGATGTTTGACGAGAACAAAACATTGCTCGTTGCAATTTGAAGAGCCTGGAAGAAGCTCTATGAAGTCAAAAGCGCTCAATGTCAGAAGCCCAGCGAGCAGACGTCGGACAGCCTTTCGACTTCATCACAATTAAACACTTCAGACTGTACAACACTATTGAATTCCCACAAGGCAACGACTTTAGCAGAACATGAATATTTCTAGATGAACTTACCTTACTGAAAAAGTCCTCAACAAGTTGTAAGTCGCTCGCGAAAGTGTAGCTAATGTGAGACATCGCAGGACCATAAGTTCTAACGGTCTTGAGAATCTCCATCCATCTAACGTCAACCAATTCGCGATATTGGGCTTCAATCTGCGATATTTTCATCCTCATCTTCGTAAGTAACCTGCAATGCAATGCTCAATCGTTTTATAGCGGTTTAAAAAGGTTTGGTAGTGAGACTGGATATCATTGAATTGGAAACTCATGTGAGAGCATTTGAGAAAGCTCCCAGGTTTCTCCAAAGGTCCTAACTAATACCCAACTTGTCCACAGTGCCAGAAAAGGCTTCCACGCATTGAAAGGGAAAATCTGTAGTAAAAAAAACAAAACCCAAAACTGATGCCAGTAAATAAGGGTTTTTTGCTCACAATTGGAACGTTGCCTATTTCGTCAGTCCCCTACTGAAAAAAGCTACCCTAGGAATGCGTCACCTAAAATATCACCTCCTGCTAATGGTAGCCATGTGCTTAGCGATACTAATTGTGATACAACGAATTACATTACGAAGGCTACAGAAGCCTTGAAAAATCTTTGTTCATCTTCCTTACCTCGATCTCCAACCGTCAATCCGGGCAAGATTAGTTGATTCAGGCAGTTTCTCAACAATTTCAATCTGTTCAAGAAGTTCTCGGATATCCTCATTCAGAGTATTTGCCGAACTGATGACTTCTTTTAATGAAGTCACGGCAGTTTTGAGTGATGTTGCAGAGCTCGTAGACGGTCGATCTGACATCTAGAACGGAAAGATAGAAAATAATTACAGCTTTAGAAAAATACAAGCCTCAAAGCAATTAAAGAGTACAGAAGCAAATGCAGGTGCCATCCAATTCAACTTTACTAAAAGGTAACCCATACAAAGCCACAAATAGCTCGTTACTAGGGAGCACCAGAGCGGTTTAGATAGTCAGGGCCATAAAGAACAAATCCAGCCGCGTAATTTGACCAACATATCCTATCTATTAGTGGGCGTTTATCTTTATGTGACGAGTGGCACAACGTCACCTTGCACGACTTTATCAAATCAGGGGTTCATTTCATTTGCAAGTTGGCAGGAGAGGCTGAAAATGTATCAACGAGTAAAGCGCGCGAAGGAAAGTAGCAGAATGCAGCAGCAAGCAAGAAATACAGGAGCGAAAGAACTACCAGTAGAAGAATCATGCCAAAAGTAATAATCGCATAGCGATTGAGCTGTATGAAGAACGCTAGAACTGTTATAACGAAGCAAATGGTCCGCGACAGCCGCGTGCGGCGGATCGATTACCCAAGACCGTTCCTACTGCCCGTCTCCCACTCGAAATTACAGTTCGCCTGGTGCATCCCACCCCTTTCATTGGTCACACCTCTAGGCTGTTGCCGCTGTACAGCAAGAAACTAATGAAGATAAGACATAATAAAAACTAGCAATACAGCTCATGGCTGCAAGCAAAACAAGTAGTAGCGTCGGAGATCGTACCGTACAGTCTCTGCACCTCGCTGATACTATTTCTCACTAATAGTTAAAAAATTGTTCAATATTTCAACACTTTCTTTGGCTTTACTCGGCCAACAACAACCTCATGATCCCTTCTTGTGACAAAACTTCAGTCTTAATAAGAGCATTATGGGCCTAACTGAAAGGGTTGTTCAACTGCGGTGTAGCGAAGAAAGTGTCGGCCTTTTGTTATAGCTGTACAGATGAGGACGAAGGAGGGAAGAAACAAAGGGAGGGAAGAAAGGGGATTTTGCCATACATCCCAGTAATCGAAAAAGAATGGCAAAGGGCAATTTATAAGAAATGTTACTCACCGTAAATTTGAATCCCCGTCCGTTTCTTTTGTTGTTCTTCAAGAAGGTGAGATACGGTGCTGAGACGAATTCGCAAAAATGCGTACGCCGCGGTGCTGATAAAACGAACTCGAATTGCGGACACGTTCCTTCCTTATTGATCGTCTTGTCGAACTCCATCTGGTGACTTGTTGTTAAGAATGCCAGTTCTTTGTCTTCGATTAGTTATCATATGGTGATAGTCGATAATCTATGGGATCCATTTTCAATCCGTCTCCAATCCTGCCATATGCCCTTGTCACATTGACTTTCGCCGTTCGTGTTAATGCGTTCAATTTATTAGACGGCTTCATTCGTCGCTAGAAACAATTCACTCAAATCAATTTCATTTCATATTTCTTCAAGATCTTTATGTGAATCAGACTACTTGTCGGAATTCCTGCTCCATGGTGTCGAGTCTTTATGTGACGCCACCAGCCGCGTTCGTTTTTGCCTGCTATTTTGCCCAATTTCTCTCAATCATTGTTAGTTGATTTCTTACCTTATCATCTCTGAAGTTGTTTTGTTACCGGTTTGGTCGTTGTTCGAGAAAACTGGTTACAATCCTCATCACTCCACTTTCCTCTTCTGTAGATGTTAGTTACCATCTGATCCTACTTATTGACCACTTTAGAATTTCATACTGATCAGATCTCATTCTCAACCATTTTCGCATTTGAACTATTATCAAAAAGTAAAATCGATGAGTGAAGAAGTCCTTAACAGTATTTCTGAAAACTTCCGTCGTGAGAAGTATTTGAGTGTTGGGAGAAAGTAGATTAAGATTTTTTTTTGGCAATTCCTTTGAAACAGGCCAGTAAACATTCGAGGTTTGGGAAACAAAAATCATTTATATGATTTTGCGTCATCATTCGTGGAATGCAATTTCATTTTGTCTAAGTGTCGGGCCTTCATGCGGTCGTAGGCTTATTTTATAGCATCATTTTCTTCTTTAAAATATTCTGTTTCTACTTTGTGTAGAAGGAGCCTGTCTTCAGATTTCTTTAGAGTGCAATTTGTGAGGTTGTGGTTAGTTAGTACTGCAATCCTTCCGTTCCGCGTCCAGTTTTTATAAAAAAAAATTTCAGGGCCGCATTTCAATAAATTGACGACAATCTCGTTTCATCTTGGGTGACTAACCTTCAAAGTATGTCATTTGACGATAATGGGCTATCGTTTCAGGCTGTAGTTGTAGCAGTGGATGGGTGGACGGCAATCGTCCGTGGCCGAAGACAGGCCACGTTCCAATTCCGTCGACACAGCCAGTGCTCCGCAAGGTGGCCATGATGATCAGGCTAGAAATCCGAGCAGATCTGTGATGACAGCTGCCGAATTCTTGCAAGTAAGTTCAATTTCTTTTTCCAGTTGTAAGATTTCATATGGTTACAACAAATTTGATGAGACCTGGAACAAAAGGACAATATTGTTACAGCCACGTCGTTCGTGTTTGCTATTAAAGCTGCCAACACTCAAATTTATTACCCGGTCTTATACTCAGCTTTTTACCCATCGTTTCTTGAAAGTCCAATCAATACCACCCAGGTTGCCATCGTTCGCTCGCTGACTCATGCACACTAAAAGCTTCTTTACGCGTTTTAATAGAATCGGCGAAATACGTTGAGTAGTTAAGCATTTATTGATTGCTTCATGAAATGACGTATTCTGTTTTCTTTCTCTCAATCTTGTTTCCTTATGATTATATTACATGGAAACTATCCGTGATGCTGTCTTGTCTTGTACCGTTTTGACAACTTGTTGGTATGTCTATATAGGAAATGGTTGGCAGGCAGCAGCTATTCTATTATAGCTCACTCAGCTAGGATTAGCCAGATAAAGATGTGCGTGCTCGCCTTAATACGTTCGGAGCAGAGAGAAAAAGCATGAGAAGCTCTCACATATGTGAGGGTAGAGTGAGAAGAAGCCAAACAGTGCAGGAAAGATAAAAGAGGGCAAAACTAGTTTATATGGGACCACACATATTCACATAGTATGCGACATTGACTGATCCCTCCACCACTACTGGTTTTGGTTTCAAGAAGTTTTTTATGTGTCTGGTTCCTGTGTGACGATGTATATTTCACTTCAATATGCCTTTTCCTATAATAGGTTTGAACTTATTCCTGTCATTTATGGGAAACCTTCTGCAACTAATTTTTTAAAAACAAAGTGGCGGATTAGCCATGCGCAATAGATGATTGAATTACTCGACAGTTCTCTTCTACGCGTCTTCTTGAAGTAGTTTCCGGAAGTTCTTTTGGAAAAAAAATCCATCAGCATCGATCCTGGGAGGGGTAGGGCCGCGTTTAGCCGAGGTATCATTAATTAGGGAAGATACTCGAAAAATATCAAATTCCTCTGCTCAAATGGCCTTCCTTCATTCGTTCACATTAACCTCGGTTGGAACGCGAAGTATTCGCTGTGGTTTGGTTGAGTGCTGCGGTGGCTGGTGAATTTCATAAGATAGTAATTCAGGAACCGAGTAACACGCATCTGGAGAGGAAAAGATCTGTTCAAAAAAATGGAAAGTTAAAGCGTTATCAGGTCGAATTTACTTCCTCTTACTAGTGTCGTGGAAAGTACTGTTGAAAATGACCAATATCAGTGGTCAACAAACTAACGAGTACTCGTATCCATTAGCTGGGGTTGCGTGAGGTCGAAGTTTTCATTTTGCTATGCAAATGTTGACATGTAATTCACGCCATCTTCCATAAATTAGTCATCATTGAATCGATTGGCGTGATTGAAAGTCTTCATTTTTAAGATTCTATTTCTGGATTATCTCTTTAGAAAATCATTCAGAACTAAACAAAACTAGTTTTCTCCCTGGTTTTTGAATGCTGTTAACCCGAAGTTTTGTTGACTCGACACTGATTTGCGTATAAGATTAGTCAACTTCGAATTGTATTCAGTGGAGAGCAGTGGACGCGGTATATTCAACGCTTACATGACAAACACCTCAATTATCATCCATGAGCGCGTTCTGGTCCATTGCTTTGCCAGTAAATAACTTTGACTAGGAATGAACTGAATGGTGTTCACTTTACATCAAGTTGAGGGCTATATGCTCGTGCGGTTCAGCAAGAAGTAAAAAAATCGTAGAGATGTCGAAAGACAAACACCAAATGTTGCTCCCACGTCTTTGAACCATGACACGAACCTTCATGGAGACCACTTCGAGCACGCATAATGGCATTTGTAGATCTCTGCTGTTATTTTGCGGTTGCTCTTAATCTATATGATAAAGCTGATACTGGGTAACTGATTTCTATGAAACCAAGTAATCTTGGGGATGACTGCTGCTAACCTTAGTGCAAAGCGGCGTCTCTAATCATTACACTTAGCGCTCTCGAATGAATTGCAGCATTAAAAACGCTTATCGCAGTTTATGAGAGAAGGGAATGTCAATAGTTTTGAGGGCAACCTCGTTTTCTCTGGCGAGAGGGAAAGTGTTACGCTACTTTGTCATGTGGTAATCCGAGTATATGCACTATCCAAAATCTTTAACCACGAAATCTATCGAGCTCCTGCTTTTGATATGTTGGAAGTGGAACTCATTTTCTATATGTCCAGGAATCATTATTGTGTGTTATGAGCGTTTTTATAGACGATTCGAAATGCGCGTATAATTGGTTCTTCATCGGATTCCAATGGATCTGAAGATGATGCGGGTCCTTCTACATTACATCAGCATCCAATGAGGTGATATTCTATTCAATTGTCTCTTTTGATAGAGTACTTCGTCCGAAATTCTTATGATATAGTGTGTGTGAACGGAAAAAGGTTATGGTTCCCGAAATTGTGAACTTTCTGAAGGAGTAGCCTAAGTTGATGACGATAAGAGAGACTATAGGTAATGTTAAGCAAAAAAANAAAAAAAGCTTCATGAAGTTCGTACTCAGTGCTTCATTTGCTTCATTAGCGGTTTCCCTTGATAATGCGTGTCTCGCTACCTTAATTTAGTTGTAGCTAGAATATTATGACGTATGCAACTTGAGTGTACCCTATTTTCTCTGCTCTATAAAGGCTCCCAGCTCAAAGTGAGAGTTTTTCTCGCTCCGAAGCCTTTACAAGGGACCGAAATTAGCAAGCGAGCCTTGCACCAGGAAATTGGTGAAGTGCATTTGCAATGGTAACTTGTTCTCTTGTTGCTATTTCCGAAACTCATTATCGATTAAGCTAAGTAAAGTATTTGTACGAAATTCGGTCGCGGGTTTACATTTTTTCATTTGCTGACCCTCATTACGATTTATCTTCTTCGGTGCGGAATCCGTTTTCCTTGATTTTTGGTATGTTTCTTTTCCTAGGTTGCGTTCTCACGGTGGCCTAAGCCTCAATCATGCACGGACCGGGCGGTTGCGAGGTAACTTAAGCAGACGCTCGATGCCTGTTTTTATGATGGGTAGGGATTTTTGATCTTTGAAAGGAAACAGAATGGTTTATATATCATAAACCATTTGTCCACTTAACCAGATGAGTTTGTGGGTTTTCATGTTCTTTGGAGAGTAAGGTATTCCATAAATGTGATATCTTTCAGGCGCTGAAGATATGACTTGCCCTATTTGTCACAAAACTGTTCCCTCAGATGAGGCTGATGTGCATCTTGTTATGTGCCTTACTAGACCGAAAATTACTTATAACGGTGTGTTCCCTTTTCTTCTTTTCGATTATTTTGTGCTACAGTACCCCAGTCGTTGCTTTTATCTTCTTCGGAGAGAGGAAGAGTATAGGAGAGTTGGGCTGTTGCTGGTGTAAATGGCCTTGCTGTAAAAGGTTTGAGATGGAGGGTATGTAGGAAGTCACAAACATGCTGAGAAAGGCTTCAACCCACTTAAACTATGATGATGTCTTTTCTGTACGGTTTCTTTGTACTGGAGATCTATTTGAACAGTGACATCTTCTTTTTCTTTTTTTTTTCGATACTCGAAATGATTCAGATGATGTTCTTACCGAGGATAAGGGCGAATGTTCAATTTGCCTTGAAGAAATGCTTACCGGAGCAGTGATCGCTCGCTTGCCTTGCCTTTGCATATATCATAAACAGTAAGGGTTTTTACGAAATTCGGTCACGTCCTGAACAGCCGTATTATTTACGTCACTGAACGTGATGGATCTGATGTTTGCTTTTTCAGATGCATCGATGAATGGTTCAAAAGAAAGAATTGTTGCCCGGAACATCCTGGCGATGATTGAATTATTATTTTGTCCAATATGAGGTATTTCATGAGCGCGCCGAACGCTTTTCCTACATGTATTGTTCAGCAAGTGTTCAGATGCTCCTCTCTGTATCAACTATCAAGATGCGCCTTTTTATATTCTCTATATTCTCAGTCGTGTTCGTTCATACACTGAAATATACGATAATGGCTCGGCTCTACCTAATTGTATGATATATAAGCTTTGCTGCCTGTTTCATTATATTACTTTTAAAATCCTTCTTTGTGATATTCCAGATATCAGAATCGACTGAACGCCTCTGTACGAAATCGTGTGCGATTATAGGTTTAAGTTTATGTGATGGGTATCTTTAGCTGTCTTCCCTGATATTCCATTCAGTCATTCATTGTACGATTATGTTTAAAAAACACCTGTTCAATTCGAGATATTAATGAGACTGGTTCATGCTATTAGTTCCCAACTAATCACGCAACACATCATTTCATAGTGATCGCAGGGTTAGCAACTACTTTATTATTACATTCAAATGTGGTCTTAACTATCCCGAGTGATTGTACATTAAATTGAAAACTTTATGAATATATCTTCTTGCTTCATATATACCCGAGTGTGATTCACGGAACAACTATGCAAACTGAGAATTCGAGCAAATCGATATGAATAAATACTGATTGAACAACGTTTGGTAGAACCTATTGATTTTTCTTATCACAGACGTCATCCTTGTCCTTTATGTTGAGATCGACAATTTTGGAAAGAAGTGCGGCTGCATTGTCTGCACGTTTTGCCGGGTCAAGCAGTTTCATATTGGCATCACGGGTCTGCAACACGGAACTTTTCCGTAGTGTGTTAAAAATGTCACCCAAGCTACTTATTCACAAGGGCGTTGCAGTGAAAATGTTCGTTCGACAAGGCGTAATAATGAGACAGAGAGAAAACAACAAAAAGGTAATGCACACATAATCATGTTAGGAGCGAGGTTTTCAATAAATTTGTGATCATGAGTTCAGCACTAAACGATGGGTTTAAATCGACACATAAAAGGCATGGCATTACTAATTGAGGCCTGGAAATGCTTTAAGGTGCAGCTATTATAGTAAGACGGAGTAGAACTCAAAAATGCAAATGAAGGACGACAAGGAAGATGCTAAGGCTTTGAAGCCACTTCTCATCCTCTCAGATTTGCTTTGACCACCACTAGCACGTGATAGGAAAAAACAGAAGAAAGCTAAATTGATTGAACTTACGTCTTTTATAGCCTGGAAGAAATTAAAATCCGTAGACACCGGAGCATCAGGAATACCCTTGGCCTGGAGAAAGAATAGAATCAAGGATCTTATCATGGATGTTAGAGAAAAAGCAATCGATAACCCACCTTGTTCTCTAGTAACCCTGAAAACCATTGATCAGGTTCCCTCTCGTTTTTTACAATAGTCACATCAACAGAGACAGTTGCTTCACATTCCCCGTCTTTTGAGACTGCCGAAGGAGATGTAGTTTCAGGTGCTTGCGGTGGGATACCGCACGAACTGAATGCTTGCCATATAGCCTCTAAAATGGTATTCCATTGACGGCACCCAAGAATCTACTCAATTATAAAAGTTCAGGGGGTACGGCAACAAGTTGCTTGAAGAGCAAGCCTGAGTGTTTGAATATCACACACTGAGAAACCGAAACCCGATCCTCAGATAAAAGATTGAGCGCAAGAAAGAATGCGAGGCAGTGGGAAGCGGCTTTCATTTATGAAGAAATAAAATTTCATTTGGGATGAACTTTAAGTTGACCTTTATCTTCGTCATCCGGCTCCAAATCTGAATCCTCACTGCTTTCACTCATAGCCTCAATAATCGCTAGCAAACGGTCCAGTCCTTGTTTACCCGTAATCTGAATTTGAACAATAAAGATAAGTTATTGCAACCAATCACTTTTCTGCTACAGCTGTTCATATGACGCAAAAGGGCTCAAAGTTTAACCAGATTCTTCATCTTTATCTACATCTCTTCATTTCCATGACAGTCACAAAAGTTGTTGAAATAAAGCTGATAGACTATCCCATCAAACCTTTTTGAAATTGTCTTTTTTCAGCTGCCAGGCAACGTTTTCGATGACTTCAAGTACTCTAGCGATGCCACACTTTTCGTTCAAGGATTTGGCTTCTTCTCGCTGACTCTGTAACACGAAAATGTCTCGGTTTTGCAGAACAGATTTGAAAATAAATGAGTCAAGCAATACCGCATCAGGATTCAGTATGACGAGCTCAAATCGGAAGCTGTGAGCCCACGACTGTGCAAAATTCAAATTATCGTGCATGCTATGATCAACCACCAGAACCTAGAAAGGAATAGAAAATGAAAAATGAAATTTCTCAGTAATAGCTCCAAAGCCTTACGTGAGAATCGCAGTCGACTTTTTTCACGACATGTTCCATGATCTCTAGCTCGGTTTTTGTACCAAGTCTGAACGACAATGACATTGTTCTGTATTACGAATTCATTTTGCCGTTTTAATGGCAATGATGACTGGATAACAGGACTCGTTGTCAGACGACTTAGAAGTATCCACAGGTAAAAGCAGATGCGGTTCATTTAGTGCCCGGGTACACAGTACTTCCTGGTACCCTCTACTTAAAAAAAAGGTCAAACAGGTCTCGGAACGTCTACTGCAGGACAGTCAAATAAGCAAAGTTTCAAACTAAAGGAACATAACAGTGAAAAGCACTCACTTGAGGATTATGGCCCCGATCATGAGATCAGGCTCTTGTTTATGCATCTTCAAAAGTTCAGCACCATTACGGAAATGGCGAACGCCTACATGTGCTTGATAGTACTTGGTATCCAAATGAAAAACGGACGTGGTGCTATCATTACCCACAGCATCCACCAGTCGATTTGTCAACTGAAAAGTCTGTTTTCCGTACTGCCCCACATCAGTACCAACCAGAAAAGTTGGCCTGAGGGTTCTTCTGGCATGCAAACAGAATAGATAATACAAGAAGGCTCAACATAACTTTCTTGAATGACTCACAGTGAGAAATTGATCACCAACCACGGCGACAATTTGCCGATGTGCTGCAGACATATCACCCTCGCTTGTTTGCTCAAAAGACCTCATCATCTTGCTTAATCTAGAAAAAAAACCTTTCATCTGAGCTTTATCCCACAAGTATACCCATAACGAAAACCACATTTGTAAGCGGGAAACGGTTGCGTGGATGTTTACGCACACATGTGGCTGAATTTGCTCCAGATATACAACACCAAATCGAAAACCATTAGACGATCAATACGGCATTCGACCGGGAAAACAGCCGTGATGACTAAGTTCGGGGCGATGCTATCAAGAAACTCAGGAGTTTAGAAGTCAATGGCCATGCTTAGCGAACCAAGCCTTCCATCCACCCGGGATCGGTTAATTGGCACCATACTCTGTGGAAGGATAGAAGCATGAACAAGCCCTTCAGTTGGCAACCGCAAGTCACTATATATCGGTTACACAGGCATTCAAAACGCCTTTATGATGACGAATGGAAGCTGTGTGTGTTAAAGCCTCTCAACAAGATTGAAAAACGCGAAAAGATTTTATCCCACACCCTTTGCATTTGTGCATTCGTTTCGCTGAAGGAATCGACTCGTGGGCTACGAACATGAATTATGAGCAACATTACCTTTCGCAGCAACGATAGGAAAGCATCACGAATGTGTTCAACATAAAAGGGAGACGATGTGATTCATTAGCGATCAATTCTCGTTTAGAATCACATAGGTATTCTAGCGTGGAAAAGTTCTGTACCGTATGAAAGGAGTATCAGAAGGTCAGCTTATGCTGTCGTTATTTTCAGTTCCCCGAACGAATCTGACCAATTTGCTGTCAAAAGGGTATGGGAAGGATGGAAAACGGCTTTGAAAGATTCGATTCCAGACTGCAGGGATCGAATCCCTCCGCACTGCACTAACTTGATAACGAATCAGAAAAAGAAATTGCGCCGTTCCTACTTCGGAGAACACGAAACGAAGGGATTAGGGGATATTGCACTGCTGCACCGATTTAGAAAAAACATCTGCTATTCTTGTTTGGCACAGCAAAAAAGAGTTTGAAGAGTTCCATGTTTATGGAATTCAGTAAGTAGAATGGTAACTACGCTCTGATAAAGAACTGCACTGCTCGAGGAGATTACTAATCACGTNTCACTAAGCAAGCACGTTCTTTCTACATTGCTAACATTCCCAAAACAAGAAGGAACCTTGGGCTGAAACTGTTCCTGCCAGGAAACAAACAAAGCCCCTGATTTGTACCTACAGGGCCAACAATGAAGATCTGATCCGCAAGCATTGAGCAAAGATTGCATTAATTGAAAAATAAGACGCGTCCCGTCGTCTTCGTATTCCTGGTAGCAATTTATGTGATAAAACGTCTATCTTCAATCCATCATTTCCATCAGGGTTATTTTACTGCTGCAATTAAACATCGACATAGGAAACCGCTTCGTGTGAATAGCAGAAAGCAAATGCATGCAAATGCTTTTGATCGATGAAATATGACGCCGAATAATCTCACAGTAATCAATGATTTAGATACAAAATTGCTTTATGGAAACGATAATATCCCAAAGGCGAAGGGAAATCTGTGCAATAAGCTGTGAATAGAAAACACATTGTGCAATAGATTTTCAACATCTGAACAATTTATTCATAAAAGAAAACAACAATAACGTTTAATAAAGACGTTGAGCCTTGCCCATGGTGGATTTGATGTTCAACGAGCGGACGTTCTGCCAGTTTTTCTTCAACAAAGACACAAGGAAGTTGATTGACAGAGAAATGTTAGATACAAGCTCCTCTTGAGTCATTTCAACATGTCCCACTGCCACAGAAAGGCAAAGTACCTGCAAACAATATCATTTTTACTAACGATATGTGAGGTGCATCTTGGACGAACCGTACCTTCTTCATCTGGAATTTGACAGTTGCCTTGATTTCCTCAACCTTTTGTGAGAGTGGCTCTCCATGAGAAACAACAGAAGGGAATTTACCGGCTTTGTTGAGACCAGGTCCAATGATACGAGGAATCTGCTTGATAAGGGACTCAGAAGCAAGGAATGCATCATAACTTTTAGCAAGTTTCTTGATCAGCTTCTTGTTCTTGTTCAACTTCTTAAGGTCATCAGCGCTCATGCATGGAATTCCGTTCGCATTAGCTTCATCCAAATGATGCTGATCTCCGAAGACGCAGACTTTCATGGCCGGTCGAGGGACACTCTTCAGCCTGAACAAAGTACCGTATACAATATTCTATAGTTTGAAAGCAATTATTGTTCCTGTATTTGTTTAATTCTAAAAGAAACAGGGATGAGCGTGGGTGACATCGTTTAGGCATTAATTAGATGGAATTAGGGTGATCCACCAAAATCATGACATCTGAACCATCACGCTAACAGCTTGAAGCTTTACATGCTCAAGTGTTGGTTCTCGTTTCTACCCGATTGGCGAACAGAAAAATAAACGACAGGAAGGCTTCGATCTCACTTCTCAACTTCATTACAAGCAATCTAGTTGCCAAACACCTGTGAGGTCATTTCCATCTAACTTGAGACTATCACTGGATTGAACAGTTCTAAGAATTAGAGCATTACGAAGACAACGCTTACCAAGCCCTATTGTTTCATACTTTGGTCGGCAATGATGCCTCCCCAATTTTTAAGACCCTGGGTGAGGGTCCGCCATTTTACAATGGCTCCCTGTAAACTACAGGTAGGAGTCGAGTACCTGACGGCGCCGCTGAAACGCTTGTCCTTCTGGGGATCGTAGTTCTTGAGGCCGATTTGGAGTTCCACTGTTTCACGAAACTTCCTCTTCTTCTCTTGAGCTCCCTTGAGGACATCGGCTACAGCCTCATTGAGAGCATCACGGGAAACCTTCGACATTGTTACCCCTGAAAACGAAGGTATGAGCAATGACAAGGAAGCGGGCAAAAAAAANAAAAAAAAGGACAAGGGAAACGTAGGTACTTAGGAGTTGAGGAAAACTAATCTGTGTCAAGTTGCAAACAAAGCTTGCAAAGACATTCGGAAACCTATAGAAGCGATCTTACAGTTCTACTGGTTGACGTATTGAATTTCTGGGTTGGAACGGAACTATGCCTCAGAGTGAGATGTAGAAGAACTACAACCATCATGACTAAAGTAGGAAATGAAAGAAAGTCCTATTCGTGAAGAACCCCTACCGCTAACTATTCCCCGAGCATTAAGCAGAAATAACACTGATATAAAGCAAGGAAAGCGTTATAAATGAGCGAAGGAATGTCCCAAATACTGGGATGACCCGTTTCCTGGATACGGTGCGCCACCGAAAACAATCGCTGTGGGACCATTTTAGCGATATTTTTGTTTTACGATGAATTCGCTGAATGGCCGTATATTGACATGGCTCTACTTAAGAGAATGTGAGATTATGGTGAAAGAGATGTGAATTACCCGGAAATTACGTAAATTTACCAAAACTAAGCACATGGCAAAGATTTTTCCGGCTACCGTAACCAATGCATGTCGGCCGCAATGCGGCCGCGTCGCGTGCCAACTTCGCATCTATCAAGATTAGTGGCGCCGAACCGTATCATTGGGCGATGCTCTCCTTCTTCGGCTATGCTTTGATTTCATCCCGTTCTCTGAAGAAGCAGCAAATCCTTCAAGTTTTTTCGATTTCTTCCTAATTGTGTTTACGTATCATCCTTCATTAGCTTCCCTTCTTTCCGAAATATAAACTTCAACACGCGCCATACATCTGAGCTTTTCTCATTTCTCGTTTTCTTGGCTTCTTGTTTGATGAAGCAGCATTTTTTCTTAGTTCAGGATCATGTCGAAGGTCGCAGAGAGGAAAATCATGAACGAAAAGATCGCGAAGGTCCGTGAAGTGGTTCATGGCGTATGTACAAATGATATTATATTGGCTTTGTACTCGTTAGATATGAATGTTGAAAAGACCATCCAAGCGTTCTGCGAAGGTATTTTTGTATTCTTTGAACGCTACTAGCGTAGAACTGGTTAAACTTCCCTTGAATAACTTGTTAGCAGACGGAGCGTCGGAAGTGCTTGACGACTGGGTGCGACCGGCTGGCGGCTCTTCTAAGAACAAGAATAAGAAGAAGAAGAACAAGCAACAGGTAGAGCCTCAGGAATCAGCCGTAGCGCCACCAGTAGCAGCCGCAACCGCCGCTGCTGTTCCTTCTACGGCCTCCGCTTCTAAGGCGGCCAAGGTAGCTCCTCCAGCGAAAGGTATGTGGTTGTGCTGCTTGTTTTAGGTTTCAAAATACTTGCACAGCTCACAAATATGATCTTGCTCCTTTTCTATGTTCCAATTGAGTGATAGTCTTTGGTTTGTTTCTTGAAATGGCCATTAAAAGTTCAGTTGGCACAACTCTAGGAGAAAAAGGTGGTTAAGCATGTTGAAATGGAATGCGTTTCTCAAAGACTTTTAAAAGGTGTTAAGGGGAAGTTGAGGCGCGTGAGTTACAGCTGATCGTACTTTTGAAGCTAGCATTGGATTCTTAATCGAAGTTTATGACGGTTTCGAAGAACGGAATTTTTGATGTACCAGGCTGGCTCTGTGATCGGATGCTGCAGTTCTGTAATAGCTTTTGGCGATAAATGGAGTTTTTAGACTTTGATTGTTAAGAGAGGCGTTATTGTAGGAAGCCCTGTCAATTTGTGGTATAATTTCAAAGCTGAACATGCATCCCAATAGATCTGAAGCAAACCATGGCTTAAAAACGTTGTTTGATGATTTGGAAACTGCGGGGATAGAAACTCATGCATTGTAATGTATCCATTCTAGCTGCGGAAGTTGCCCCACCAGAACTGCCTGCTAAGACTGCACCTCAAACTAATGGGTTTGTAATTCAAGCCAAACGTGAGTCTTCTGTGTTTCAGTTTTTTGTTTTGTTAGGGTCGCTCGCTTTCTGTGCAAAGCCATTAATGTCTCTTATCGTTGTTTGAGTGGCATAAGCTTCCCAATAGTGCCATTCATGAAACGTTAGTACGTGGCTGTCTACATATGGTGAAAGCTAGCATCCGTGAGCTTTTGATTACAATGGATGTTTGTGACAACTTAATTGAGACAACTCAACTTAATTAATTAGCGCCTGGAGTTGCAATGCGTGAAATTGACTATTTTTGTTTTCAGCGCAAGAGGCGAAACCTCAAACTGACAAAAGCATTCCAGTATCCGAACAAATTCAACAGACATTCAAGGTTTGTATTGATAATGTTTGTTCTGCATGCCGAGGGACTTTCATAGTGTGGCATCGGCGTAGTTTCTCGATACGGCCATTGCCCGCAATTTTTCAGGCTCTTCGCGCGGCTGTTACGGATCGTGAGAAAGAGCTCTTGTCTGGCTGTGGGGTAAATTCAAAATTCGTAGATGCAAATTTCGACCACTTGATTTCGCTTATTCAGAAGTTTGGCTCAGGTTTGCATACTGTCAATGATTATCCTGTAACAAAAACTCAAGAAACTCAAGCCAGTGAAAGTGCGTTTGACGAAGCATCTCTTTTTAGAAGTGCTAGTAATTCAGCTAGTGTATTTAGTAAATAGGTGAAGGAGGATTTGTTCCGAGGGCACCAAGTGCTCCTGATTTTTTGAATGCCTCCGAGGAAACTTCGTCGGAATTCAGAGGACTCTGATACTAAACGTGTTAGCCCAGTTGTTGCGTCCTCCATGCAAATGTGCAGCGCAGCGGTTTGCTTTTTTTCTGAGTTTGCGCTATGAGGAAGTGTTTTGAAATTACTCTAGGGTAGGTTTAGTAGTTGTTGACTCGTGGTTTTTGGTAATTTCGCTGGTTTAGAAATAAGTCTCCAGAAATTCGTGTTTGGCCCGCCCTTTTTCATATGTGAACTTTCAATCAAGTTGTAAGTCTTGCTCGTTTGCAAATGTACGTGAAATACTTGGGTCGGCACCCTAATCATTGGCGTATCATCAGCACGAACGATAATTGGACCTTTTTCTACTCAGGGTTTTGTTCGTAAATCTCATTCAGAGGCAATAGCACGTAATAGTAGGCAAAAACCTTGTTAGAAAATCAAGATACGAAAGTTCATACTGATATCTCATGACCATAATTTACTGAGACGTAGTTGATATTTTATGCTAGAGTGTAACGAAAAGTTCCCAATAAAAGTGCGCAATTGTTTGAAATCGTGATAATCAAAAAATTATTCGCTAATTCAGTTGCCGAAACGACACCTCGAGGAGCACCGGCTGCGCCAACGGCTGCAACTGGCATGCCAAAAGCTGTGTCTCCAGTGCAGGCTGCTGCTATTAAACACGCCACAAGCCAGTCTAGCATTTCAAGCTCGCTCGGAGCAGATTCTGGTGTAAATCTCAGCCCCACACACAAAGGTGTTTCTTAATTTTCAGTTCAAAGTAACCGTTTATTCCCCTCTGAGAAATTTTTCGGCTTCGCTCTCTCCAATGATAATTGTAGCTACTTAATTCCAATCATTCCAGAGGAGAAAAAGCCGGCATCAGAAAGCAAGCCGAAGCCCGCCAAGGTTGTCAGTGGTGGTATTATGATGCAGTCAGATGCACTAACGGCTGAACAGTTGGAAGCTTTGCAACGCTCTTTGACTGAGCAGTTGGCTGCTTGCGGCATCGATGCGTCGATCCTGTCTGGTGTCGCTGGAGGCGACATGCCGGTCCGTCGTCCTCGAAAGGCGGACGGACCTAGGAGAGGAGGAATCGTGAAGAACGAAAGGACTTCTATACGTCCTCAACTATCTATTCTTTAGGCATGGTATCTTTCACAGATATTGTTTGTTTGCTCACTTGCTACACATCGATTTTTCGTTGTTTTTCAATACTTGGATTGTAATGTATCCCGTATCCTTGTAGAAGCTTGTAGAAGCCTAGGCTTATCATTTCTCTTTTTTCTATTTCACGTTTTCATATCTATATCATGAGTGGCCTTACTATGTACACGAGGTGATGGAACCTCGACTCATTGTGATCAATTGTAGAATGATTTTGCTACCAGTCGAATCGGTGCCTTCTCCTTCCGTGGGACTTCCCGTATACGATTGTTCAGCCGTTCTATTTTGTTTTCCTATCCTCTCCTTTTTCCTTGTTTTCGTTTTCTGCTGCACGCACTGTGAGTGACAATGTTGCAGTGGAGATATTGCTGCATGTCAGCTGTACTTTGTGATTTACTACTGTTGCATTAGCTTCTAGTATCCAAAAAATTCGACTATATGTATGCACTAGACCAAATATCTATTACTCGAGTGGGATAAATAATTTATTGCAAATCTTGTTGTAAATTTCTCTAAGGCCCTCTTGATTCCTGTAGTTTTCTGTGATGTTTGCAGACATATGTCGTTGTAGTTTTTTATTCTGGAACTTGACGTTATCTCCTAACAGAAACGACACCAAAAGGGTTCTAGTTCAAAAGAACACAAAGCGCCGTAATTGTTGGCCGTCAATGGAAGGGGCTAGTTCGCGTATGTATTCCGTATCGTATCTTTTTGTCATTTGCCTGCTTTCCACGGTTAACTCTTGCACACGTTGATCCTTCTTCACTCAAAATGTTTTCTACTATGGAACGTAGAGGCTGCATAGTTGCTGTGACGGCACGTGGTAATGGGCGGATGCTCGCCACTGCTTCTTTCTGACGCTTCTTTTCAGGAGGAGAACGTCGTAGTAATCCTTTTGCAAATAGTGGCAACTGGCTCAGCGTTTGCATGCCGCTGCAACCCTTCGATATGCATCTGCGATAAACTTTGATTTCTATCGGAGCCCCTGACGTCTGGGGGATCGTCGCGGCAACATCAGTTAGGTTAGGGTTGTCGTAGGGTGAAGGGAGGGTGGGGTACTGGGAGGTTGTGTTTAACAAACCAATAGAATTTTTCTTCTATAGCCCAGAATATGTCTCGACAGGATGGCAATTTAGCCATAACTGTTCAGAAGCGTGACCACTGACAATCCACAGCTCGTTGCACCCGGCAGATTTGCGACTGGACCTATTCGTCTTACTAGACGTATGCGTCTACACTTCAATATGATAGGAAGAGCTTCATATCATAGAAATGCAGCCGTGAACGTGAGAGAAGCGTTGAGGAGGTGTTAGACGATTGAAAAGAAACAGCACATCGTCCGTTGTGTGCTTCGTTTCTCGGGACTGCACACTATTCAAACTTAGCTTTTTGGCCAGTACGGGTTACTAGATGCATTGGAAGCAGTCATACTACCGACGCCGGTACCTGCGTCAGCAGTCGATCGATACTCGCAGGTCTATGGTTGTAATTGCACTGTCGGCCGACACTGCGCACGCTTGACGCTGGCATTGGCTGCTTTCATACTTCGACGTGTGAATCGATCGATACCACACGTCGAGGATGGCTGCTGTCACACGCTCGGATGGGGCCGCCGTCGCATAGCCGCTCGGACGCCGCTTCCTACATGTGCGGGCGTCTCCAACGGCGTGCTGGCACGCACATCGAAGTATGAAAGCAGTCATTGGTGTCGATTGTATGAATGCAACTGTTGTGCATACTAAAGGTAAAGGATACTGAATAGTCGATGGAACAAAGTGTGAGTGGGTACATTCCTCTGCTGTTTGGGAATTGTTTGGTGCAAATCCTGTTTTTTCAATAAGTGACTACTTTTTTGCACATTTTCTTTGCATTACAATTCTCTCATAATAATGGCGTAATGTTCGCAATCGTACGCGCGAATGATGACGCATGGGCATGATTTCTCATGGTTTCGTTTTCTTTCAAAGATGCTCAACTCAACATATTCTTTTCTCTACTATTGCAGATGGACCCTAGAGAACGGAAAAGAAATTCGTATTCCAGAGTAGATGAGGCCAAAATGTGGATGTTTCTTTACAGGTATGCATTAACATGTGCTCACTGTATACTTAGACCTCTGTCTGTCGGGTGTGTCTTGAGATTCACGGTGTCTGAAGTAGGACCTGGAAAAGTTTGGGCGAACAGGCCATGGGTCAATTTGTGTGATTTACTCATCAACTGGGCTCAAAGCAACCGTCCAACTTTGGTGCAGTGTAGCCATAGAACGTGTCAGCTGTCGGGAATTGAGTCTGCAATTTCAAGGAAATTGAGGAAGTATTGTAATTAATACGAATGAGAAAACATTACACTCTATTTTTTCCAAGTCTTGAAAATCATGGCAGCAGTAGTGCAGCGTAGTGTGCAGTAGGAATAACATCTGAGTACCGAGCTATCAGAGAAAAACTTGTGAAAATCCATTCTTCAGGAAGTTGCGAGAAGCCTCACCAGCAGCTCGTGAGCCAAAGGGACTTCGCATATGGAGCGAATATATTAATGAATGTCAAGTATCGAGGACTGTTGACAGTTTGACGACTCGGTAGGTAATCAGTTGACAGAACGATATGGGTAATGAACGATCTAATAGATGTCGTTTCAGTTTCCGACGTCATATGATTGGAAATCTTCACAATGCTGATCTGAGTTGTGACGTCATGATGTTCCTTTATCGTCAACTTCGAATAAACATGGATCCTGACGTCAAAATAATGTAACGTAATGAATTTATATTATAATCATCAAGTACTGAATATTTATGCATAACGTAATATAATTACATTATACATTTTATGTTTGTTGCTCGCTGGTTGGTTTTGAAAAAAGTAAAAATCAATAGAAATGAACAAGAACAGCTTCACGATCAGGTTTTAATGTTAGAGAATAGAGTTATGCTTGTGTTCACCCTATTGATTTGAATGAGTGTGTACTGAATCGTACAAAATCGGTGCCAACTTTTTGGTTTGTGCTCTGTTACCTTTTGGAATGCAAACAGTCTTCCACCAGGGGAACTGCCAGCCTGTACTCATAGCAGTTCCGTCATCTAAGTTCACTTCAGCTCTGTGGTAAACCAGTGAGCTGTCCTGAATTTCAAAATCAAACTGTAAATCATTACGTTTTTTGCTAAATACAGTTTTCACAGACATTCTACATATTAGTATCAGTTGTACGTTTTCTGCTCTGTTGCCTTGTCGAAATCAGGCGTTTACAGGCTCCAGCTGAAGTTTTCTATAGAAATTGTCTTGAACGAGAATGGTTACGTAAAAACTTATAAGAAATCGGTGCAACCAGTTTTGGAACGTCATTTACCAACCGCTACCAAAAGGGAACATCAACCTGAAGGTGATTAAACACTAAGAGTTGATAACACTGCAAGGGTTTTTCAAGAGGAGATTATCAATTTAATTATCAGCAGGTCTGTCAAGAAAAAAATCTGCGCCTTCGAATAGTTATGCCCAACGCGAATCTGATGTATTGAGCGATGAGGGATCTTTAACTCCTCCACCCAGGAAGCGGTCTTCGCTAGACTTCACACGTAAGATCGTTTGCGAGTCTAAGTCAACTCATGCTTTTTTTGTTCATATATTTATATCAGGACAAATCCATGATGTTCTAGTCGATAGCCGTTTCGAAACGAGGTATAAGAGACATCCCGAGAAAGTGGAGGTAGTGGAGGCATGTTTTTCATACATATTTTATGGTTTACGATTTTCTTACTTGGAATAGCTAAGCTAATTGCCTAATTGCTATAGCTAATCGCCGTTCCCTTTCTGTATAACTTCATAGTAATGATTTCTTTTATAGATTCATGATGAGGATTTTGACACAGATGAGGAAGATTCTTTCAATACTCAGTCTTCCCACGGGTCCACGGCTGGTCCAAGCAAGATAACAGGTAGTTTTTCCTGAACTTTTTTTTT